CCCCCCCCCCCCCCCCCCCACCAGCACACCCCGGACGCTCACGGACCCACAGGCTGGACTTGGAGCTCCCTTTCCGGGCTGCGCTCATGCGGAGCTGCCGCTGCCCTCCTCCTCCTCCGTGCGCACCTTTCCCCCCCTCCTGCCTCTTCTTCCAACATTTGTGCCTCAAAACACGTTCCTCAACCACCACAACCCCCCCATCTCAAAAACCTGTCCCCGATCCCACCTGAAAAGCGCACATTTTGTTTCCAAACCGGGCTTCTCTCTTTTTTTTTTTTTTTTTTTTTTTTTCTTTCCACCAGCCGACAGCTCGTGGGGGAGTCGCGCGCGGATCTGCGCTTTATCTTCCATTCATGACGGAGGAGAGGACCGCGCGCTCGCGTAAACACAGGTAACGACTGAAAAGCCGAGAGTCCAAACCAACAACTGTGTTCGTGCATGAAAACGAACTTCTTGCGGTCGCCAGGAGATCCAGCTCCGCGAGGAAAACCCGCGGACGGAGCAGGGAAGAGCGGAGAGGGGGGAGACCCGAGTCACAGCGAACAGAACACGGTCGTGGAACAAGAGAGGCAAAAAAAAGATAAACGCAAAGTTGAAACTTACAATTCGTCGCTGCCGCTTTGTGATCCTCGCTTTTTAATCCAGAATCGAGACGATCTAGCTACAGATCCCATGAAGGCAGCTCCTTTTGGTCAGTTTGCGCTTAGGGTGGCAAAAGAAAGATCATTGTTGTTGCGGAGCGTAAAAACCCCAAGTCGCTACGATTAGTTGTTAAAGGCAATATAAAAATAATTTGGATGCAAAGCAGGCGATGAGTTCTTGTGTTAGAGGGAGCGAGGAAGAGGTGAAAGTGAGATCTGATGATTGAAAAGGAAAAACTCTTTGGATCTTTATTCCTGCTAATTAGTTTCCTGCAAAAAAAAAAATGGCTGTGATTAATTCAGTGCGCATGTGCTTCATTACACAGGCACGAAGGGAAGGGCTAATTAGCCGCCTTCTGGATCAATAAGATTCAGCAAAGGAGAGAGCTCGGGAGAGAGAGGGAGGGAGGGAGGAAGAGGGAGGGAGGGAGAAATGGATGCACAGATACAAGTAGAGGAGGAAAAAAAAGAAGAAAGTAATGATCAGGAATTGAAAATATGGAAATAGGAAGAGCGGAAAGTAAGAGTTTGATCCGTCGGAAGGCAGTGGATACAGTGTTCCTCCTCTCTTTGCCACTCTTTAAAAACACTTAATATTTAGTTTTTATTTTTAACAAGACGCGCACGGCTGATAAAAGCACGCTTTATTTCATTGTCCTTTATTTTATTTTTTATTTTTTTTTCCGTGCGTTTTTCCTCCGAGTTGAATCCGCGTTTTGTGCAACTTTTAAAATAAATCATCACCGACATTCGGCGGAGGATGCAAGTTTAATTAAAACACAGTTCCCCTCTGTCGCTAAAACTAAAAGTTGAGAGAGTTTAGAGACTGATAAAGCAGACAAACTTTGCTTCTGTGCTCCAGGAGATGAGCGCGGCTGTCCTGCTGTAATCTGCACAGAGCTCAGCTTATCCTAAATCCAGACGCACCTGCATATTATCACAGCTAACTGGGTGTTTGGAGCCGTAAATATATATTTGAGGCATTTAGAGGAGCACCACATGCTTAATGTTGACGCTCAGAACTTTAACGCCTCAGCGGAGCTCGTGGTTCGACCTGTGCGGTGCGTTCAGGGGAAACGCGTAAATATTTTGACGCTCATTTGTCGCAAAGAGTTTTGGTTTAATGTTACAGATAAAAGTCAAACGCGACAGTGGGTGTTTCCTGGTTTATCACACAAAGCTTGTGCAAATGTATCCATCTCAATTTAATACTGAAACTATTGCTTACAAAATAAGAAAAGCAATTTTTTTAAATTAAATTCAAATAATCAACTTTTTGCAGTGCTTTGCAGCTCAAATGATAAATCCGAATAAAATAAATCGCGTTGCTGTAAAACACCGTTACCCAGCAGTGAGATTTAAAAAAAATATATTTATACACAATTTAGATAATCTCCTGGATTCTATCAGCAAAATCAGCCCGTTTCACAAATGTATGCTGAGGTTTCACCGCATCCTGCACTTTTAAATATCTAATCCAGTTTCACAAACTGTGTAACTGAGCAGCTATTTCAAATGTATAATTATAAAATTTGTTTTTTTTTTTTTTACCAAGGATAGCAGTGAAGGGAGGCAACACTGAGGAGTGATGAGCATCGTGACATCTGTTCTCAAACTTGTGGAAACATGTCAGTGAAATAATAATAAAAATAGGGACAAGGTTGCCAAAAAAAAATCGTGGTACGAGGCGTCAGTTTCTGTTCCGGCCTTTTGACAAATATTACAGTCACTTTAAAAGACAAGCTGCTTACTACCTAAATGTCACGTTATATTTAATAATATGACTTTTTTTAAAATCCCTTCTTCCTCGGTTTTCCTCCCCTGAAAGACTTTATTGCAAAAATCAACATTTGGGTCTCTCAGTGCTCTTTGTTCTCATCATTTTCCTGTTGATTCTCGGAGGAAACGGACAATGTGCACACACTCTCTGTGCAAACAGCTCCATCCACATCCACAGCGGATCTCCACTCCTCGTGTCAGGCTGAGGGAGCATAACTCCGTCCATCTGCTGAATTCCGATGCAGAGTTCACAGATAAACGGGACAACATGGTGGGATCAACAACACCCCCCACCCCCACCCCCCCACACCTCCATATATTCCTGCTTTTTTAATGACAAACTCATGTGTTGGATAGAAGCGCGCGCGGCGCAGATGTGTGTGTGTTAAGATGGCACACAGCTGATCGTGGTGCTGCAGTGGAGACAACGGCTCATGAAATAAATAGACCATATTTTATGTTCTCCAAGGGCCTTTGGCTTAAAGGTTAGAGGTTACGGAGCCCCCGTGGGACGCGGCGCTTCCTACAGATCCAATAGCACATATTCCTTTGAAGAGCCCGTGAGACTCTAACTTCTTACATTGTATAGCCTATATGGCCAAGACTCAGGCTCACCCCCCCTCCTGCTCCTCACCCTTCCATCACACACCCTCCCTCCCTATCCCTGCCTCCTCCACTGTCCTCTTCCCCTCTCCCTGCTGGTAAAATATATGGTGTTGCACTGTTTCCTCAGCAGATGCCTTTCTATATCCGAGCAGCGACAGGCACTGATACCTGTTTTTAAGTAATGCAGCATCTGCTGTATAGAATCCCCCCCCTCCCCCCCTCCCCCATATACACCACCAACCCCTTCAGAAATAAATAAATATATTAAATACATAAATCAACCCATCATACTGTTTTTTTTTCCCTTTTCAGTGAGAGAGGCAGACTGCAGGAATCTCGAGGATTTGCGACGTGTCTGCTCTCTCTCTCTCTTTTCCTCTCTCTCTCTTTCTCTCTCTCTCTCTCTTTCTCTCGCTCTCTCTCTCTCTCTCTCTCTCGGGAAGAAGAGATTGTAAAAATGAATAGGTTGAAAATAGCGTGCGAGAGGAGTTAAAGGGGGCTGCGAGATAATAAAAGAGTCTGGTGTAATTTGAGGCTTGTATGGAGGCAGATTTTCTTCTTCAGGCCAGTCAGTCAGCTGGTCGCCCAAAAGCCTGCAACAATACAAACTTCAGTTTACAAATTAATGCAGAAGGCTCTGATTGACGTCCCTCCATCAGCGGCCACGTTGACTATATGGCGCAGGCTAAAATCAAAAGAGGACCTGCCAGACGGGGCCTTGATGCTTTTAGGGGCCTATGCATCAGTGAAAAGAAGGGAAGTGAGGAGGGGGGGTCTGACAGGGTCTGAGGCTTTTGTGTTCCCAGCATTCAACTGCGCCTCTCAGTGGGAAGGATAACTGTCCACGTGCCAGCCTCAATAGGCGCACATCGATGAGTGGCATTGCAAATTCAACACAACCTGTTGGCCATGACAGGAAGGAAAAAAGAGCTTCAAATGCAAAACGCTCATGCACGAGAGGCTGGCCATCACCATCAGACGGAGGGGGCAAGACACCACCCCCACCCACCCCAATGGCCTCTAACGTGCTTGGGGTGCACGTGCACAACTGTCACTTTTTAAAAATGTTTGCTTTAATGTATTCAATGTAAATTACACGATATGTTGGTGCGCGCAGCAGTGCGCAACGGGAAATGGAGAACACGAGCAGGTCTGGCAAAAAGGTTCAAAAGAAGGATTTATACGTTTATAAAGTTATAAAGATTAATTCATGTGGATTTGGGAGTTTAAAATGTTTGTATGGCTGCAGCTAAAAAAAAAAGGGGGGGGGGTCAGAAATGTTTAAAACAGAGAGGAAAATGTGATCAGAGTTTTTATGAAAGCATAATTATGCTCTGAAACATTTATTTAAATTATGTTAAATAAAAGTAGAGTAAAAATAATCACGTGCGTATTTTTGTCCTCTTATGGTGAAGCTGCACGTGTTATAGTCAAGACTTGAACCACGTCCTTACTGTGAGGTGAGGCATTAAACAAGGTTTTATTATTTTAATTCTGTGCATTAATTTTGACGTGATTTAACCTTTTTTTTGTGCATTAATTTTCTGCTCAGGATTTTGTTTCAATTAAAAAAAGGTGCGTGTGTTTTGTAATATTTCCTTGTGTGATTTCTCCTGACTGGGTCGTGTGCAGCAGGCTGCAACGTTTCCATCCCTCATGTGGAGTTTGGTGTCCGGCTCTGCCTGCGTTTGTGGTGGGTGGGGGTGGGGGGGTCAGCTCAGCCAGGTGCAGAGGGAGCGCCCTCTTATGTTCAGCCTGACCGCTGGGATCAGCAGCCAAACGCCCGCGGAGCGCTCTGCGCACGAGCGCATCTTCCTCTTCATCTGGACTCTTTTTAAATTGAATTTTTATTCTTTGTAACTCTCCCAAAATATTTTACCCAACAGACCATTGGTGGAGAGATGAAGGCTGTTGGGAATCCCGTACCTTTTTTTTTTTTTTTTTTTTGGTAGAATAAAATATAAACAAATTAATGTCGGTGCGTAATTGTTCCAAAATGAGGAAACATTGTGCGGAAACGCAAACTGCCTGAACTTGACCTCAAACAGAGGGACATTCTGCAGAGATGCACACATCAAAACAAATATGTATTTTATTTTATTTCAGTTAAAACCGTGTTTGCTCTCGTGCACGGTCCTGTTGGGACAGAGGACAGCGCTTTGATAAACATATTTTATTTGTTTCTTCGGCGATTTTACTTGATTTTTAATATCTCCCATGTTTCCCCCCTTTAAAAAATCCTTTTGCCGATTTTTTAAAGGTGCGTCTCATGCATGATAAATATTTTGTTTGACAAATTGAAATGCATTTTTCCCGTTTTTTTTATTTTTATGACTTTGGTTTCTGTCCCATGTTTCATGAAACCCTTAGACATGATTTGTTTCAGTCACGCAGCATCTTTGCAGTAAATCAGTGTTTTTCCACATGCACTGCTTTTATTGTTGAGTCTTTGGCAGAAATTCTTGAAACCTGTGTTGATGAATTTTTACAAATGTGCTTTTTTTATTTTGGGATTGAAATCCCCCTCGGTTTCTTCTTGATTTTATGACTTATATCTTGTTATATTCCCTGCAGTATGCTACTGATGTTCTTTTTTTTTTTTTTGTCTGTTGATCCAACAAAATGCTGCTGAAATAAAATGTTAAAAATCCCCAGAAAAAGAAGATGCATCATCTGCCTGTTTGTTATTCATCCTCTCAGATTGAAATAATTCTTATGGAAATGTGTTTCATAAACATTGTGGAGAGATACAACCCAACTCAGGGGAGGGAAACCTGTTTTGAATACAATTTAAATTAAAAAGAAATATAAGAAATAAATAATAATAATAAAAATCCAAGCTGGCCACTGAGGATTTTGATTTTGGAGTTTTGGAACAGGAGAAATGACCGTCTGGTCAGTCTGCTTCATTTACATGAGAAACAAGAGGGGACATCATCCAGTCACCCCTCCTGCCAGAACTATTTTATTAATGGTCCTATGCATTATTCAC